TTATTAAATTAGTCCAAAACTGTGTTATTTTTGCATTTTTAGAGTTTTTCAGGACGTTTTTAAATTACATACAAGTTTTTGCTAAAACTGACTAAAAAATTACAAAATTAGATTGAAATTGATATCATTTTAGCGTGTCTCGCTCGATTTGGTCCGTTTTCGAACCAAAGACTCATTTATTTTGCAGGATTTTGTCAAAACATGCTCAAACACAACAAAAATAATTCTAAATTGATGTTATTTCATTTGATTTAGCTCTTTTTGAGTGAAATTTTGTCAAAAAATAGGACGAAAAATATAAAATATGGTCGAAAAATGGTGTTAATTGCAAGATTTTGCTAAAACAAACCAAGAAAACGTCAAATTAACTCCATTTTTTTGCCTTTATCAAGTGTTTTAGCAAGTTTTTCAAATAAAAATGTAAATATCGGGTGACTGTAAATGATTTGGTGTCAAAAAATTTAATTTGGTAACCTTGACTTTCAAATTCAAACCTCAAACTTTCATAGGCGACTCACGAAACATTTTTGATATAACAAACACTAATTCAGTGTTGCCACTAGATTTTTTGTCACTCGGTATTTCGCAAAATTTAATTAAAAACTAGCCAAAAAATTATACTAAATGAAATAACGTTACTTATTTTTGAATTTTTCGAGCGTTTAAGCACGTTTTTGAGTAAATTTTATATGTGAGCTATTCTAACCCTAGTTTTTCAAAATTGTCATTTTTGATAGAAAACGATTGGATGTTTAAAGTCAGATTTACACAACTCAATTTTTACAAATTTTCACAGGGAAGTGGCCTTTACGACTTTAAGTAGTTGATTTATCCATAGTTATTTTACTTTGTGTGTTTAGTGGATGCAAATAAAAAAGAAACAATTTAAATAAATGATATATTTGCACTTTACTAACAAAAACATGACATTTAAAAACTTCACACGGGACAAATCTCTGACGTTCGTGTCTAAATGGAAAGGGGTGAAATAAATTTGTGCACATATAAAAATAAAAAATCACACCATAAGAAGAAATTAACTTTAAAAAAAAAAAGAGAAAATAACTAGTGACTCAGTTCTTATTTCTTCGCAGAAGTTGTAATAATGGCACACCCAGCCGTAAAAACTGACCATAACAGCAAAGTAGCCTCTAAATGCCCTGTAACAAATCTCACCCCATCCAAAACCTGCTTCCAAATGGGGTTAACACTCTGTTTCGAAGTCGTAGGCAAGAGATTTCTAGCCTTTAAGTATTCAACCAAAGCTGGCGAGTCTTTAGTAAACGCGGGGAAATACTCCCCAACTTTCTGACGAACCCACCATGAAGGCTGCGACCTTTGACTCCACGACGAATACTTGTATTTATAAAGAACCCCCCTGATGTATTTTGGCGGCTTTTGGTTAAAGGGAGAATGATGACGGTCTAAAAGAGCCAAAACTTCCGGTTTTCCCATCAAAAGTCTGTGAGCTAAACTCAAAATCCAAGGCTGTTTCTCGTAAGTGTTGTAAGCCGCCCAAAACATCTGCCAATCTAATCTGGGGGAATATGGTGCTAAAAAACGAATTTTTTTGACAGTTCTGACAACTTGTGCAGTATTACCAACAAAAGGTAGTGAATGGTTGACATTCCCTGGCTTGTACAAGAAATTATACTCAAGCCAGGGACCTTCAACATTATCAGAACCTTCAAAGATTATTTCCGGTCGACCATCAACTCCAATCATCTTCGGGAAAAGGCCATACTGATTGACAGCATGGAGTTTATGAAGTCGGTTATATACAGTGCGGACACTTGAATGCACAGTTGAGTTAGAGGCTGTATGTAAGGATGCAAGAGGCACCTAAAGTGTCCATTTTAGTACAAACACACTATATATCAAAAACATACAGTACTAGCGAAGAATAAAAGAACAGCAATTCCCGAATAAAGAATTGTTGTAATAATTGTAAATACTTTTGATCCTTGGATGTCAAACAAGGAAATTGATAAAGCTCGTAGAATTGTGACAGCCAATGAGATTAATCCTAAGTAAATAGTGATTATAAGTCCTTGTTTGAGGACATACTCAAACTGGTCTTTTGTAAATGCTGAAAAAATGATAAGAGGGAAATTTTGTCTAAACTGAAACTAGTTATTTACCAATATTAGATTCGATAACAGTTCCGTCGAGTTTCAAAGAATATAGTTTAACAACGGCTAAGAAAAGGGCGCCATATATTAAAATATTTACGACTTTTTCGATAAAATTCCATTTGGTGAAGGGTTTTCGACGGCCGTAGAAGAACTGGTCATCCAACAAAGATAAAAGGAGGGTTACCATCAATAAGTTGGTGAAGTTATAATTGCCAGTAAGTACAATCGATATTTGAAGAAATGTCTGCAAGGAAATATTTATTATTGTTGTTATTAAATAGACATTTCCTAACAATATTACAAGTTTTGAAAGAAATGCCTTTTGAATTTCAATAACAAAATTTGAATGTAATTTTTAAAGTACAAAAACTTTTAAATTGCCAAAATGATTATTATATTGACATTTCTCATGTCCATATGTTTTTAATTTTATTGGCAAGAATGAAAAAGTTAAATTTGAAAAAAAAAATCGAAAAAAATATTTTGTTTTTTTCAAAAAGTAATCGTTATAGTTTCTTGAAATTTTTTACAAATTAAAAAAATTACAAATTTTTTTTGAATTTTCTTTCAAAAATTATACATATTTCTTGAATGTTTTTTTCTCTCTTTCAGTGATTACAAAAAATTCCACCAAAATTTTATTGTTTTTAGATTAATTCCTGTAATTCCAACTTAATTAACGTAATTCCAAAATAATTCCTGCAATTCCAAATTAATTTCGATAGTAACTTTATTATTTCGTCGCAATTCCATTGTTTTTAGATTATTTCGTATAACTTTAAATTAATTTTTGTAATTCCAACTTAATTCAAATTTCAAAAAAAAATCCAGTAATTTACAAGTAATTCCGATAAGTAATTAAAAAAAAATCTACCGACATATTTCAGTAATTCTATTGATTAATCGTGAATATTGATTAATAATAGATTCATTGTAATTCCATTATTTTCGAATTAATTCCTATAATTCTAAATTAATTCAAAAATAATTTCTGTAATTCCAATTAATTACGATACTTCCAAGATATTCAACGTAATTTTGTAATTTACAAGAAATTCCGGCAATTCGATTAATCCATCGTAATTCCATTGCTTTCAGATTAATTCAATTCCTATAATTCCAAATTAATTCCTGAAATTCGAAATTCCAATTCAGAAAAATTCCAAATTAATTTCCATAGTTTTAAGAAATTCAACGTAATTTTTAAAGAATAAATTATCTCCAATGATTCCAAAAAGAAT